GAACAGTTTGCCAGAACCTCTTTGGAGCCGATCGATAGTCTTTCTCCATGGCCTCACCAAACTCCTCCCAGGCCCGAGATTCTGCCTCGGCAACTGCAACTGCTGCACCCCGCTTGGCTATCCGGTACCTGTCCACTGACTCCGGAGACCCACAGAGCAGCCACGCCCTGTAGGCCTCCTTCTTCAGCCTGACGGCTCCCCGAACCTCTGGTGTCCACCAGCGGGTATGGGGGTTGCCACCATGACTGGTACTGGCTACCTTGCGACCACAGCTAGCAACAGCCGCCTCAACAATCACAGAGTGGAACAAGGCCCACTCGGAGTCAATGTCCCCCACTGCTCTCGGGACGCGGTAAAAGCTCTGCTGGAGGTGGGAGTTTAAGACCGTCTTGACAGGTTCTTCTGCCAGGCATTCCCAGCAGACTCTCACTATGTGTTTGGGTCTGCCCGGTCTACGCGGCATCTTCCCCTGCCATCTGATCCAACTCACCACCAGGTGGTGATCAGTTGACAGCTCTGCTCCTCTCTTCACTCAGGTGTCCAAAACATACGGCCGCAGTTCAGATAATATGACTACAAAGTCTATCATCGACCTGCGACCTAGGCTGCCCTGGTACCAAGTGTACCGATGGGCATCCTTATGTTCGAACAAGGTGTTCGTTATGGCCAAGCTGCGGCTTGCACAGAAGTCCAATAACGAAACACCACTCGAGTTCAGATCAGGCGGGTCGTTCCTCCCAATCACACCACTCCAGGTCATGCTGTCATTTTCCACGTGAGCATTGAAGTCCCCCAGCAGGACAATGGAGTCCCCTGATGGAGCACTATCTAGCACTCGTCCCAGGGACTCCAAAAAGGGTGGGTACACACACACACACATACATGTGTGTGTGTTTATATATATATATATATATATATATATATATATATATATATATATATATACACACACACACACACACACACACACACACATACATTTGTGTGTGGGTGGGTGCGTGTGTAGTGTGTGATCAGAACAACGTGAGAATAATAGTTGTAAAACAATGTGTGTAGCTCTGTTGGCCGGCTATAGGTGTGCATTCATGAACAACAGGTGTTCCTTCCAGTTGTAATCACAGAAATAGGGAGGGGCTCAACCAATGGTAGCTTTAGAGATCTGACTGTAAACACGAGGAGAGACTGAGCTACAGGAAAGCAGTTTTCTGGTTCTGCAGACACTACTATTTAACATGCCACAAACCCACGCTGAGTGCTCGAATGGAACCATGGCTCTGATGATTGATTGGGTGAAATCTCGAGTTCCTGAGAGATTCTAAAGCCTAATTTATACATCTCCATCAGCTCCACGAGGAAGACACACATGCACGGACGGAGACGTTTTGCTCTTGGACTTCTCCGTCTCCTGGGGAGTGTTGCAAAGCAATTCCCAGCAAGGACAACAGAGGGCATAGCACTTTTCTGTGGTATCCTGTCGTATGTATTCCAAGCTAGTGCATTTACTATTGTGTTTATAATGTGTTTTTTGTATTTAAGAGACTTTTTTTTACCACGGACAAATTTGTCTCTCATTCTCCTCCACCTCTTCATGTGCCACCTCTAAACCCACGTTTCCCATCATTTCTGTCTACGAATAAAATGCTTGCTTCGCATCTTTTCACTCCTCCAGTCACAGGTGAATAACAGTTCGTATTAACAGAGTTTTTACACGAGGTTTTCTCCAAGCTTTTCCACATCTGCCGCTAGATATCATAGGCTCGCTTTATGTTTTTGAGGGCGCAGAGGCGGCGCTGTAGATGACAGCGGCATCCTGAACAATCACAAGCTTGTGTTCTCCGACTCGTCGAACGGATGTTTAGAAAAGAGAGCTCAACTTCGTCGGTCCTTGCGAGTGCTCTCCAGCAGGCTCGCAAGGATGGATAATGGCGTTGCATCTGAATCTCGACAAAGACGGAGAAGTATGAATTAGGCTTAAGGTACAGTGACATAATTTATGATGAGTGGAAACAGACACAGGCCCTGTAAAGGGTTATGGTACAATACATTTTTTCTATCTCTAGATGGAGTCCTCTGATGAAAAACACATGCTTTAAGGCTTCTCCGTCTGCGTCAGTGCGGAGACACCAGGCCCCCACAATGCAGCTCTGAAATTGAGTCAAACCCGGAAGTGAAATAAATTGCAGTTCCACCCTCATCCGCTGGGGGCTGGTGTCAGAAACGAGCAAATCCTCATTGACTCCCATTTTAAAAATACCAATTTCACAGCAGAAATAAACATGTTAACAGACTGGTACCAAAGCATGTTTTATGTTTAAATGATCAAGTTTACACTCATGACAACTCTGAGGGGGGTGAATTTTTTCTCACTCTTCTGCTTAAGTGTATTAAAAGCCTAAAATTCTGTATAATTAATGACCATCCGACCCAGGTGACCACAGAGCTAGCTCTGTGGAAAGGCCTCAGTAGAGCCTCGGCCTGGCTTGGAAACTGCTCCGGGATTTTGAGTCTCTGTGTTTGTGTATTCTTTTTTGGATATTATTTGTGCAACTGTTGGACAAAATGACTTGCTGTGGCATTAATTGCACTAATAGAGCGTCCAAGGAGTCTCCACTTCATTTTTTTCGGTAAGTAAAATTATATTTATGTATTTTAGGTCACTGACAAGCTGAGCTTAGATTTTAACATGTACTGTTTAACCATGAAATTTAAATGTAATAGGGTAAAACCCAGTGCATTTAACATAATGCTGCACTTTAGAAAATGGGTTGAAATATAACATGTTGGTGGAGCTGGGTTCCGACTATCGGCTTGTGGAGCTATCGGGAGACTGATGTTTTCCACCCTTATCCCCTCCCCGCAGCCCGGTCCATCTCTGTTTGATCGCGGCTTCTGTTAGCTGCACGGGCTGACGGCTGGTTCTTATGGCAAGCCAGAACCACCAAAATACGCCACTTCTCCCCGCAGCTCGGCGCATGTCTGTCTGATCGCGGCTTCTGTCTGCTGCGCGGGCTAACGGCTTGTGGAGCTCTGGGATGGAAACCTTTCCACCCGGTTCTCCCCAGCGGCAGCTCTGTGCATCTCAGATCGCAGTGGCGCTAGTCTGCTGTGCGGCTGCCGGCTTGTGGAGGTCTCCGAGACCTCTGTGGAGGTCTCAGAGACCTCGGTGTTCCACCTGGTTTTACCCAGCGGTCAGCCCGGCGTATCTCTGACTCAGAAGCTCTGGTGTTGTGCACAGTTAACTCCGGTTGTAGCTAGGTTGGTACCTCCATTAGCTTAGCTCCCACTTCCGCATTAGCTTTGGGTTAGCTTGTAGCTAGTTCGACCGGGTGTCGTCAGTTGATCCCAGCCTTACAGCCCCACCCTCAGCTCCACCTCTCTTCCCTTTTATGGAATTGTCTGGGCTTGACGGAACCTGTGACACGCTCAAAATGGCGGTGGTGGCCACCTCCCATTTTAGCAAAAAAAAACTTGTTATTGGAGCCTATGGAAACCCATTGTCCATATATTTATGTCGATGGGAGACACGCAACGCCATTGTCTGTCATTGCGTAGGGCTCCAGCAGGCATGCAAGTACGTATGGAGTCAAGCCCACTTTTTTAAACATCCGTCGAACGAGACGGATTACACAAGCTTGTGATTGGTCAGGACGCCGCTGTTGTTTATGGCGCCGCCATTGCGCCCTCAAAAACATAAAGAGAATCGAAAATAACTAGCGGCAGACACCGAGAAGCTTGAAGAATACCTCGTGAAAAACTCTAAAAACATGAACATTTAATTCCCCCGTGACTGGAGGAGTGAAAAGAAGCGCAGCAAGCATTTTATTTGTGGACGGAAATGACAGGAAACGTGGGTTTAGAGGTGGCGAGCACATACAGAGGTGGAGGAGAATGAGAGACAAATTTGTCTGTTAAAAAGTCTCTTATATACAAAAAATAATGATATAAACACACTATCTTGGACCGGATACATGACAGGATACCACACAATAGTACTACGCCCTCTGTTGTCCTGCCGGGCAATTGCTTTGCAACACTCCAGGAGACGGAGAAGTATGAGAGCAAAACGCTTCCGTCAATCCGTGCATGTCTGTCCCTTGCGGAGCTGACGGAGAAGCATGAACCAGGCTTTAGGCTTAATGCCAAATGCTATAATTTAAGAGTGTTTCAGTCCTTTTATTGAACAGTTCAGCCAAATTTGCTTTTCCAAAACTCTTTTGTTGCATTTTCCAAGAGTGTAATACGTTATGTAGCTATGGAAGTGCTTTCATTTCAGGGGCCTAAATGAATCCTTTTAAGGGTCAGAAGACCACTTGGGAATGTGAAGCCACTGATGTTTTTATTTCAGTCTGATTCAACATCAGTGACACCTCAGCGGTCACTGTAATCTGACAGGATGTGTAGCAACAGCAAAGCTTCAGAGGTCAATTATTCAGAAAATAACTGTCTGATTCCTAAAAAATGAAGAATAAAAAGTGTCACGTTGTCCAAAAATAAGACCACGAGACACGGTAAAAGCAGCTAAAATAGAGATTTTTGTTTAAGGGGGAAAAAGTGGCCTTGGGTTATTTGTTCTCAGAAGGAATTTTTGACCTTCACATTCATTAGCTCACCTCATAAGAATAGCTCATTCCGTTATTTTTAAATATTTCAGGGAATATTTATAATTTCTTTGCATTTATATTCAATTTTTTTTACTTATATTGTTATTTTATTTAATGTTTGTGTTATTCGTGTAAACGTGTTGACTGCTGAAGCGTGTGTGCTACAGTGGTGGCATAGATATCTGATAATCCAGAGTTTTTAAACATAATAAAACATCATTTCTCCTCAGTGGTGGTTAAAACATCAGGAAGACCCAAGCAGGATTGCATTATTGCTAATCAGACACCATGTGGTGAAATAAACAATCAGTTCAATTGTGTTTAGCAGTCATGCAGATTGTTTAAGCCAAATGTTTAGAAACTCTCAATCCACCATTTCAACTCCTGACTGTTACATACCACAGGCAGAGGGGAGTAGTGGATGCAGAATCCCGGCTCTGAGGGGAAATACTCATCCGAGATGAAACGGATAATGATCTGATTCCCTTTGGATTTGTGACTCTCTGTTCCAGGCTGTGACCCACACCATCGGCCCAGGAGTGTCTTCTCAGTTGGATCCTCTATTTCCACAAAGTCATACCTAGTGGAGTCACGCAGAGAGAAACAGAGGAACCCTGTTTAAATAATGAGAATAAATGTCTGGTGATGAGCTGGAACAGATCAGTTGTTGGTTTACTTTACCTCTGCACATTTTCACCTAAAATGCCATCAACTGAATTTCAAAACACATGTCCAGTTTTGCACTTTTTCCACACTCTCTGTTCCATGGAACAAAAATTGTGCAGGGTTCCACACAGGCTATTTGTAGAGAAAATTTATTTAACACATTTTTTGAGCATGTTTTAAAATCCAGAAACATAAACTCCTGCAACTTACATGAGGGAATTGGTAACACATTTTGCTAATACTGTTCCAATTCAGTTTCATCCCATAAGTTATTATGTTAATTGGCAATCTGTGCTGGAAGTATTGGATTACACATGTAAATTAGTAGTAGATATTACAGTAACTAAAGTTATGAAACAATGCCAAACTGCCTCCAAATGATGTGACGGCCCAAATCAAGTTGGATAGTGATGTGAGACAGCTTAATGTCCATAAAGGGTTTCTGTAGCCAGCCAGCAAGCAGTGAGTGATGACCTGACAAAGTGAAGTGGTTAAGCATTTAACATTACATTTTATATTAACTTGGTTTTACGTGCAGCAAACTAATAAACAGTCACAAGGAATGTAAAGTTTCACACCTTCATTCTATGACAGGTACCATAACAGGTGTGGGAAAGCCTGGTTGTTAATCGATGGCTGCTATCCTGCATGTTTTAGTTGTTTCTTTGCTTCAACAGTCCTGATTCAGAGGTTGAATCATGTGCTAATGAGTTCATCAAGCTATGCAGCAGCCTTTTAATCATCTGCTGATTAAATCAAGTGTGTTGAAGCAAGAAAGACAACTAAAACATGCAGGATAGCGGCCCTCGAGGAACCAGGATTCCCCTTCTTCAGATCATGCCCTTCCCTTGCTTGAAAAATTGTTCCAAAATGAAAGTTGAACCCACATCTTTTTTATCTGTGAATTCAATGCCGTTTGGAGAGTCTCAAATAAAAATTTGGGCATCTTACTGTAAAAAAAAAATACCATTAATGTAAAAAAGAAACTCTAAATAAACTATGATCACATCCAGAATCAAACCCGGGTCTTCCGCACGAGAGTCCGCCGTCTAACTAGGTGAGCTAAAGCACCAGTGAAGTCTTTTGCATCTGTAACATTTATATCCTTGATCACAGCTGAAATAACGTTCAAAGAACGGTTCGGAGTGAAAATGGCTATTTTGTTGCTAATCTGCAGGAAATATCGAGAAGAAAGTAGCTAAAGGGTCCTCAGAAATGTAGCTAGGTTCGTCACTAGGCGTTAGGAACAGCGACAAAGTCGCTGAGTTGGCACTACCTCTCTCTCTGCTGCTAAAGCTACTGATAGCAAATGCTACGGGCGATGCCTGAGTGTGAACGCGCATGAAGCAGCCTGCTCGACCCGAGCAGCTCTCTTTCTGTGAGTTTACAGAAAAACAGGCAATCACAGTAAAAATGCCAGGGCTCATTCTACAGGACCAGGGCATTGCAGGAGAATGTATGAAGAAGAAAATTATTATTTCTATACATGTTTTGGCTGTCAAACTTCCATAATGCCCCTTTAAGTTAAGTAAAATATTGAGAGAAAAACTGTATTTTGTGGGATCACTCAAGTGTAAAATGTACATTGAACAGTTGTAGTATTTTAGAATGCTGCAAAACTCCATTTATTCCAGTAATCCAACTTAGACTAAGAGACCATCTAAAGGCTCAGGAACCCTTTGCAGGTGTTTAGGATTCATTAGCTGATTAGAGTGTGACCCTTTGAGTCTAGAACATTGAGCCTTTCACAATGTTCTGATTGTCTGAGAATTTGAATGCAAGATTTTTATCAGCTGTAAGCCATGATCATCACACTTATAACAAATAAAGACTTGAAACATCTGGCTTTGCATGTGACGAGTCTGTCTCATATATTAGTTTTACCTTTCACGTTGAATTCCTGACATAAATGAACGTTTGCATCATATTATACTTTTTTTGTTTCACCTGTACATAGAAGACCACAGGTGAAAGACAGTATAACAATGGTTATTGCCTGTCACTTTGTTATTCCCCATCTAAGGAATGTTTGTTGGGACCTACTTCCACCTATCCACCTACAGGTGTAGCTTGTCAAAGACTGTGCTTCACAATGCACTGGATGTGTTTAATTGAAGTTTTTTTTTTCAGAGATGGGAGGGGGAGAATGTTTGGTTTTACACAAACTCAGCAACAAGTGCACATGACCTAAGTGTGAGCTTGTGAAGCCCAGTAGTGGGCTGCTGACTTGTTCAAGGTGCATCCACACTCTCCCTCAATGACCCCGGAAGAAAGGCACCAACCCCGGCGACCCTATGTGGACTAAGCGGGTTTTAAAAGATGGATGGATAATAATAATAATAATAATAATTATTATTATTATTATTATTATTATCATTATTATTATATTTCAGACCAAACTTTTTGAACATTTCATTCTTTTGCCCAATCTCAGCCCTTCAGTTCAGGAGTTCAGCATTTATTATTTAGGCCTGTGTGAAGGCTGGAATACATTCAGCCTTGTTTCACCAACTCTTCACAGTCTGGAATTAATCACTCTGCCATTTGCCTCAACAAGCACGCTCACCTTTCATTCTCCACTGCCAATTCGGATATTTGGATTTCAAGGACATTATTTACCTTTTTAACTGGCTTGACAGATTCAGTTCAAGCTGGTTTCTCTAAAACAACATGGAAGGATGTGAACACGTTAAAAGCACATTTTCTTTGAAGTTAAATAAAGTGTAAGACTGCGAGTATGAAAAAAGGTACTCACTTCTCAGATTCAGAAATGCAAGTTTGATATATAGGATCAGGGAGCCTTAGTTTTAGCGAAAACCTCACTGACTCAAAGCAATTTTGGAAAAGACTAAAACTAAGAGCTCTTACTGAAGATGTAAAGGAAGGTTTGATCTAAAACTTGCCATTTAGGCAACTCCATGGTATCGACAGATGGCTAATCAATAATGCACAACACCGTGATCATTCCACATCACCATGTGTTCAGAATTACCATGCTCAAGAGAAAATTCTCAAATTAACAAATGCACTGACATAAATACCAGACTTAATGAAAAGATATCAGAAACAGGATGAGACCAGCAGCAGAAGCTTTTAGATTTCCGTCCTACCAGGATAACATTCCTCTAAGCTCACGCTTTAAGGGTAGCTGTGTTTAGTATTCATAAAGCTTTCTCCTTGTACATTATTAATATATCCAATGTCTGCCACAGAGATGACGCAGATTAGCAGAACAAACATTTCTTCAGTCATCTCTTTTCAGACTAAAGACAGAGGGCATAAATGCCTCTCTGAAAACAGCGGTGTCTGGGAGCTGCCAAGCACGACTCTGCTGCCATGCCAACCAGCAGTGAGAGCAATCCCTCTTCAATATGCCTCTCCTCCAGTGGATTTGGTAAGAATGCGTTTCATCTCGCCACAGACAAACAGAATAGCAGATGAGCATCTCCACTATGCAGCTTCTCTCTCATCTTAGCATAGACCTCTTGCTCTGGGCTTGCAACCAGAGCTGAACACATCTCTCAGTGTTGTTTGTTTTTAGCCCCTGTCACTGCTGTGGCTCACTGGATAGGACGTCGCACTCCTGTTTATTTGAATCACATTGTGCAGCGACACAGGGGTAAAAGCTGAGTATCAATAGGGCTGGTTTAGATCTGCTGTCTTCCTTTTGGACACCAGAGGAAAAACAGGGAAAGGAGGTCTGAGAGGAAGTTTTGTGAATACATTTTTAAACACACATGAAAAATAAAGCAGCAGTAAAGGCAGGAGCTTATGGATGTGAGTGTATATGTGCATGTTAGAAAAGGAAAGAGTTTAGGGGGAGAAAAAGAGGGAGGGTGAAAGAAAAGGCACAAAGATAGGCTTGTAATTGCATGCTGCGTTCATCTGCCTGCCAACCTGCCAAGAGTCAGTATCTTGGGATCTAACCAAGACCTGTTGGGCTTCAGTCAGGGGTTGGAAGGCGCTGAGGGGGATTGTGGAGGGGGTGAGGTGAAAATACTTCAATTGGAGCAGTGTGGGTGAGGTCAGACTTTTCGGACCCTGTGAAAGGATGCTGATATCGTCTCTTACGCCTGTCTCTTTGAGGTGTATGACAAGAACGGTCTTGTAGAGATGGAGCAGCGCAAAAGTTGTCAATCTGCACTCTTTCCCACTGTGCACTTTTCCCCCCACGTGGTTTTGACAGCAACGCTCACCTCATTCGTCAACAGGCACTCAACACTCGACAGGTGTACTTATATTTTTGCAGAGGGGGTTCTCAAATTGCCAGAGCTCAAAAAAGTTTTTCTTTTTTTTTTCCTCTTCTTTTTGAATCTTTCAATCAACAGCCAGTAGTGACGAAGTACACCGAATAAAATGTGGAGCACAGGCACAGATCCAACACGGTGGCACATTACAGCACTTTAGACAATTATAGCAGCAACCCTTTTTGTTTTTGTTATGGACCGAGCCTAGAGCCCATATCACACACACCTCATTGAGTTTCCACTAACTGTCAGAGTATTAAGGGCGTATGCATTCATGGCCACATAATATTTCACTCTCCTAATATAGTTGGTGGCATGATAAATGTTAATCTGCTGCAGCAGTGCTCTTAGAGGAAGAAGCAGTTCCATTTATCATCCATTAGGGGGCTCTCCAAGAATTAGAAGTGTGGTTTCCCTCCCCCTGGCCTCCTCCACCGTCCACCCACCCACTGGCCTCCAATATGCCGACTAGTCAGTTGTGATATATTGACATGAAGGTACGGAGCGTAATGCACACAGGGTAAATTGATCGTCTGGGATTAGGATCTTTGTTTAAATCACATGAAAACAAAGCCAAAGCCCAGCAGTAACTGAAAGTCAGCTCCCTGATAAAGCAGATGATATACTGTTCTTGTAGGTGTGTGTGTTTGTGCATTTTCATTCAGAGGGTGTGGCACGTCATCTAGACTATTCTTTAAGCAGCTAAAAATATCGACTACATCTTGTAAAATATGCTGGCCTGAACAGCGTCACCGCGGTGTCCTGGGTGAAACAAATCACTCTGATGCGAGCTTTTCAATATTCACGAGCTGCCATGGCAGGCCAAAGGCAATTTCACAAATGGCCACACTAGGACTTTAAATCTTTAAAGATGGACTACAATCCAGATAGGACACGGTTTTACCTCACACCAGCATGTATCTGTCATGGCGGTGGGGAAAGCCGCTATCTGACAGGAGCTGGCCGGGCAGAAGGAATGGTTAAAGACAGACTTGAACACTGCCAGCTGACAAAAAGATTATCCCGGTGAGATGAACAGACAATGATCACTGATACTCAAACTGGGAATTTTAAATTACAAACCACAACACATTTGGGTCTTATAGGTTTTAACAGGGCAGAAAGAAAGGAAAGTTAAAGAGAATTTTTAACCATACTGAAGTGAGTTTCTTTGTAAAAGTTATAAATAATTTACCCAGTGAAGATAGCTTCCCGAGTCTTTCTGAGAAACAGCTTTTGAGCTTCACTGGACTGATGAGCTATTTCAAGAGTAAAGTAGAACAGGCTTTATAGTCATTGTACAGCAGGGTACAATAAAAAGTCTGGTTACCTAATATTATATTACATAAACAACATTTACAACGATGGATGGAATCCTAAACCAGCTCCATCACCCCACATTGTATTATAGCATTAACTTTTAATTACATGATCATTTAAATTCAATTCTTTGATTATTTATCACACAGCAGCAAAATATAACATCTGATGCAGGCAGAGACCATGTTTTCAGCAGGACATTTTAGCTATTTTTTAAACAAAAATTACCATGTGATGTAACACTCATGGCGTTGTAAAAATAACACATAAATGACATGGATGGAGTTTTAAGAACACAAACTCTGAAAATGGCTTCATACATCCTAGATGGATTTCTGCTTTTATAAGAGCTTCAAATGTTTAAATTTCCCTGTGGAGCATGCAAACATTTAACACATGATTTCTCTGTCAACTTATAACAATCTGGTTATTTTGGTAGAACATTTTTGAAATCCTGTTGGAGTAAACCACTGAATGCACTTTGAACAGTTAATTTTTATGACTTTGGGTGATATCTATGCTTGTTCAGAATTTCATGACTGTATGTTGATTCAGTCTTTGTCCAACGTGTCTTACTTTTTGGTCCAAATGAGGTGACTTACTTGCATATTCCATCTTCAGGGTCCTCCAGACCAAACCTCTCATCAAATGTAAGCTGAATTCTCATGTTGCTGGCTGCCACCAGTCTCCAGACTAACACAGTATTCCGTGGATAAGTGTGTGGGAAGTCTGGACTGTGGACCATTCCTTCTCCAGACACTGTTAAGACTTTTTCCTGAGCTGAATCTTGCACTCCTGAAACAGAAAACACAATGCTGATTAAACCAGGCTGTGCAATAGTTTTATTGCTGGACTAAAACAGATCTCTGTTATCCACATGTTTTATCTGACTGGCGATAGCTTGAGCTGGTTAAGACAATAGGGGATGGCCATATCAATCGTAAAACAACATCTATGAAATACTGACCAATGTAAGGCTTCACCAAATATTGTGCTATGTTTCCAGTCTTTTATTTTGTAAAACATGCAGCTTTGACTCAGATGTGAAATCAATGTGCTTTTTTATCCTCACTAAAATCTGGACACGGTCAAAGAAGCTCAAATGTGTAAATAAACCGACTCAGATAAGCATGTTAGGAATGACCACAAAAGCAAATGTTCTCAATGAAGCTAAGAAAATGACATTGTGTGTTGTTGTGACAGTAAATCAAAAACAGAGTACATTAAAAGTATGGATCTTATGGGTATCACCAAGCATCTCCCATAAACCCATCAAAGCCTGCATGGGCTGGGAACCAGTAGCTGGGGGGGGGGGGGGGGGGGGGGGTTAATTACAGAGGAGTAACTTGTCAGTCAGTTTCTTGCAGGGCTCTGGGAGACCCTATAACCTTCAGATAAACAATTGCCAGGATGCTTCCACCTGAGCCTCACACAGTGACAACGACCTGCAGCAATGCCGAGTGGAAGACAACTGTTCGGTCATCTGCTTTAAGATGCCCCAGGGCATCAGAGCCTTTATGTATTGTTGCACAATGAGTTTTCATCTTCTCACGGTGCCAGTGTGAGCTTCCTCCCTCAGCCCAGAGACAGGCATGGTACAATAATTAGAGACTATAAATTAGTTGTGAATATAATTGTTTATGGTTATCTGTCTGTTCTGAATCAGGTTTGATGATGGATTGACGATCAATACGCTGTCTTTTAGCCATTTTGGATAAATGTTCTAAAGCGTTTCAAACAAACAATTGGGCTTGATTAATGAATAAATAGATTCATAACAACTAGGTTTAAAATGAGTGTCATTAACATGTCACGTTTCATTCAGAGTTATGATTGACACTTTGGTAGACTGGGTGGAACCCCTTCAATTTCCAGGTTTAATGAACGCAATGGGGTTTTGTCCCATCGGCGGGATGCGGGCATGCTAAGGGGTTAAGGTAAATAGCTGTTTTTTTATCTATTTATTTTAGCCAACCTTGTTTTACAAATTTAACACCAGAGGCGCCACCATACCGTCACTATAGAACGGCCTTGATCAGTCAGACTGCTGTGTAGCGTCATGAATGCCATCTAATTTGTGACAAAGGTCACATTTTCCCAGCTGGGTCAAGCTGGGTCGACTGTAACTTTGCCCCACAGATTAAACAAGCAAGGAGCCATAATGTCTGCTGAAAATCATCTTTATCTGCTGCTGTTCTGTCCCAGAATGAAGGACACTTCAAGATCACAATAATAATTTTAAATAATAATTTTAATAAACTCTTGACTTTATTACTGTTATTACAATCATCATTAATAATCTCTTGGTTCAGTATAAATGTATTTTAATTACTGAAATGACTTATTATGCTTAATGATTATTGTTGATAATCGGTTATGTGTGTTCAGCAAACCAGAAGGTCATCTTGCACGTAACCAGCCTCATTCAGAAGGAATATCCAGGGTAAAGGGTAAAGTTATCACATGTCTTTACACCATGACAAAGCTTTCTGATGCTGAGAGTGGGCGTGTTCTGAGGGTTTTTGTTAAAACCAAAAATCCCGCAGCTGTAAGCCAGTTCTTGAACCATAACAGGAGAAAAGGGACGACCGCCCAATTCTCTACTTCTTCAGAGTTATTGATTTTGAGACGCAAATAGTTCCACCAGTCGAGTGACCCACGGAGATCTCAGGACCGATTTGGTCGCACTAAGGTCCTTCTACCAACTTCATGCCTGGAGGACATCATCTCCACCTGACATCTCTGATCCAGAAGAGGGTCTCCTGATCTGGGTGAGGTAGACACTCCTGACAGATTGTGTTTGATGCTGTTCTTCCTAAGAAATGACTCAGTTAGCTGCAAAACATCATTTACAACCTAGAACGCGCTTCTCTCTCTGAAAGAAACATTCTGATATTCATTCATGCATCCAAAAACTCGTATTTTCATTTTAGCTTTCATTCAGTCACAGGTTTGCCTTCAAAACAAGTTTAACATCAAATTGTCTGTTCAAAAATTCTCATTTCTAAATTGTCATTTCAAATTGTCATTTTTTTAAAAGTGTTAGTAATAAATTCTTAACTTTAAAAACTTGACTCTCTTCTTGAAATTAAACACAGAATGGTGTGTATTTCTGGTTATTGAAAAAGCAAAGATTCCTTTAACTTCTGATTAAATAAATAAACTTTTGCTCTAAATTTAATTATCTTAAATTAAACATTAATCTTTGGATTAAAATTAGACCAAGCTCGTTGGCATATGAACTTCTTTCGAATATATAATATCCTAGATATGATAGAAGCTCCATTGTTAACTCGTTTGGATCTTTTCTCAGAATCTAACAAAGCTGATAGCAAACAGTGTTGATTCTAGTATGTAGTTAAACACGCTACATAATTGGTCGAGCCATTGCCAGTCTTTTTCAGATCAAAACACACTATTTCTGTGCTTTATTTTTTATTTTTGTGTTTTTTTTTATATATTTTACTAAAAACGGGAGTTGTGTCACCTTAATTTTCTTCCTCCGGAAACTTCCGGGAGGGAAGCTTTTTACTGTAACACCGACTCCGGCATAAACATCCGGCAGTTCGTTGACACAGCGTTTACTCAGCGATTAATCCACGAGCCTGTGGGACTGTTTAAAGACATCCTAATTGCTAAAGTAAATGAATGTGTTGTTTGCTTGTGTGTTTGAACGTTTATTCACCATCTAGGTTGACACGTAGTGTCTCCTGAGAGAGAATTCATTCCCTCTCTTCACGCTAGCAAAAAGCTAGTAGCTAATCAGCCGACATGGCTAAGAATAGCACCCCGTTTTCCGAAACATAGCTTAACCGGACTTAGCTTAAGCATTCGGGAACACTCAGACTTAGTCTGACAGAGTGGTTGTGAGCAATCTCGTCACTCCGCTCCTGCGCGCACCTGTTTAGTTTAAAACGAACAAGGAGTTACGTCTTTAAGCAAGATAAGCAAAAGAAGCTTCCACGGCTGACCACCGCGGAAAACAGCTAAACCAGCGTAAGACGACGACAACCAGTGCACGGTACGCCGCCGCTGAAGTGCGCATTTAAAGGTTAATAAAGGCACCTCGTAAGTTTATCACTTCTGATAATTTTTAATTTATTAGGTAAATAATATTTCAACCAAAAATAACACTCAAACGGACTGTCTCAGAAATGTAACTTTCCATGTTATCAGTTATTTATTTATTTTTATTTTTTGCCTCTGTGCCATTTTCTCTCCTTATTTATGTTTCAGTTATGAAAGCAGAACAAATAACACAATTACAAAGAAGAGAAAAAAATTCAGACACTTCAGATGCTTCTATCTATCCAGCCATCCATTCTCTTCCGCTTATCCGGAGTTGGGTCACGGGGGGCAACAGCCTAAATCAAAACGCCCAGACTGCCCTCTCCTCAGCCACTTCGGCCAGCTCCTCAGGGGGAACCCCAAGGCTTTTCCCTGGCCAGGCAAGATGCATAATCCCTCCAAAGTGTCCTAGGTCTCCCATTGGGTCTCCTCCCAGTTGGACATGGCTGGAAAACCTCACCAGTGAGGCATCTAGGAGGCATCCCAATCAGATGCTCAAGCCACCTCAACTGGCTCGTCTCGGTGTGGAGGAGCAGCAGGTAATGATAATCTACTAATTGGCCAATTCTGCCATTTGAGTCCAACACAGGGAAGTTAGCCTGGACGAAGCTGGGATTGAACCTGCAACCTTCTGATTTCTGAGCAACCCTCTCTACCCCCTGACCTGCTGCTGCCACATCATCACAATCACTAAATATTATAATAACTCTAATAGGGAGCCTAAGTCACGCTCATCTACTTCCGGACCATGGGTCCCCGAAAGAACAAAAAAACAAATGCAAGTCAATGGGGAAAAAAACACTATTTTCTCATTCCACATGTTATGTGGAATTGATTTCACATATGATGTCAGTGAATAAAAAAAAAACATTTTGATACCAATAATGTGTTTATTTTCAAATGGGGGAAACGCTATTTTAGGTTTTGTGTGAAATAAGTCTAAGACTACAAATGCGCTTCACGAAAGTGACATCATCGAAACAGACACTGAGAAATACAGAGGGAAAATGGCTGTAAGTTCAGCAAACTTCAAATCCATCCTTCAGGAGGTAAGAACCACCATAAATCTAGCCATGCGGTAAGATGACGTTAAGCTAGGGAAGAAGCGATTGTGTGATGACGTCACATATGTGACGTGCCGATGTCTTGTTTGTAGTCGTGCTAATTACGAACTTTCAAAAGGTGATAAATCTCAAAGTATGTGACAGGCATGGTTGAAACACCCATCATTAGTTTTCATTTATATTGCAGTACAACATATGTTTGATCCAGGGCGTAAGGCAAAGCAGATAAGAAAATAGCTCTTTTAGTCCCGTTGACTTGAATTCATTTTTTCGTTCTTTCGGGGACCCGTGAGCCGACTGGAAGAAGAGGAAACTTAGGCTCCCTATTCATTATTTAGAGAATTTGTGTCATGTATGTTAAATTTTTTTTTTAAAACTACATTTTTAGAATCCAATGATAAGGTTTTGGACTAGAATCCACACTGAATTGAAATGAACTACAAAGGCATTCAGCAAACATGCCTGTTTTGGCCCGCTTTAGTGGGCTGTGTCTGGGGTAGTATTGGCTGGGAAAACCCACACTCACCCCAGAGTTAACACACAAGGATCTTAAGATAAATGGGGCCAGTATGTCTTTTCCCTCGTGGTCCTTTTTGGGATTTAGTTAAGAGCAACCTACAAATATATCTGCCCAAATCCATCCCACGCTGAGCCCTTGTGGGG